GAGCTTGGAAAGCATGGCCAGGGGCACTCTAGGTTTAGATTTTACTTGTCAAATTAACAGCCTGATCTGCTTAGGTTTTGAGGCCCAAATTAATCCTCAACCGGCTCTGGAAACCAGGCTTGGGTGTTGTCAAAAGGGACTGGAGTTTCATCCACTCCCCTGGAAGTACCTGCCTGAACAACCAGAGGGTAAGATGGTCGGGAGGCCCATTGCAGCTGTCCTCTCATCTGCTCAATAGCCTTATTGAACTGCCTCTCCAAGGCCGCATGTCTTCGTTTCTCTGCTTTTAGTTCGGGCTGGGATGTTTTCTTGGGGCCCAAAGCTTCGCCCCTGGTCTTGGCCACTACCTCCCTTTGAACAGATTAAGAGTTTTGTCTCCTTCTTTTTCTTTTGGTAGTCTGGAGGCCTTGGGTGTCCAGGCCCGAAAGCTCTGCATGGATCTTATCTTGATCCATAGTTGGCATAAGCAAACACAAGAGGTGCTGGAAGCGACCCTCTCTATGTGTTGCCTATGCGGTAGCCTTAATTATGGCCCTTTTTGGGGACAGGAGCAGGCTGTTGGTAGATGAGGCCACCTAAAATGGCTGCTCGCCACGTGCGTTGGAAGAGGAAACTTTCGAAATGGCCTCTCACATGAATTGCAGGCTACAATGGCTGTTATTTGCTCCCTACGCTGGAAACAGCCCCGAGCGGCGAAATCGGCTAGAAAGGGAAAACCATGGCTTTTTCTATCAGCTGTGAGGTGCGGTTATTGCCAATCCGATCTTTATGATCACAGCGGCCGAAATCACAGAGGAGGGCCAAGGGCTTCTCCCTTACTTACAGTCTCCCTTGGATTGAAAACGTCAAATCCTCGGCATTGCAGGAGAGTGGAGCCCCACTCTCCTGAAGGCACAGCTGCACTGGGTCCCTGGGAGCTGTGCCAATGATCTAAGATCGCTGTTTGACTTTTGCTGCTGACTAAAACTGCTTTCAGAGACACCAGCTCAATTGTCATCTAAAGAAGCTGAGTCAAAGCTGGGGGAAACTCCCACAGGCAGTCCCTTTTATACAAGACAGACTCAGCTTGATGATGTCATCAGGAGGAGTCTAACCCATCCTGGGCTCTCGCAGCAGCATTTAGGAGAATGATGAAAGCAGCAATGTGATGAAAGCCTCACTCGTTTTCTACATTTGTCACAAAAACACACAGATGCCCCATTGGGGAGGAGCTTGCAATATGACACTGAAATATTGCTTTCAACATTCTGAGTAAAGCAATGAGATCTTGCAGATCCTGCTGCTGCCAGATTTTTTTTCAAATATAATGAAATCCATGTATTCAACATCTGATATATTGAAAAAATGATATCAGATTTTGCATAGGCACCTCTTAGTATGTTGCTTGTTAAATAGCTTCTGCTGCATCTTTATGGGCTATTGATACCCATAAATAGGTGGCCTGCACATACTGTAACAACCAGTTCACCTAGTGCAGAACCGAAAATGTGTGTGTGTGCATGCACTTCACTTGTACGCAGCTGCAAAAACACGGGGATTTCCTGTGTGTGGCAGCCGTGGTGAGTAGAACAGGCGAGGCACAGAAATTAGCTGGGCTGCATGGGTGGGGTGGGGCGAGCGAGCCAGATATATAGGACGGAATAGTACCGGGGTGGGTAGGCAAGCCCAGCCGGTGGTCAGAACTACCAGTATGGGCGAGTCAGTCTGAACCAGCAGCAACACACCACTGCTCATAAAGGCATCAAGTATTAAGTACATATAAACCAATGCAAATCCTCAAAACTACTTTCATGCATCATCTCTCCAAACTAAAGAATCTGAAGACTCTGGAGGCAACAAAAATAAGCCAGGGGTGGGTTTCTACTAGTTCTGTCCACCTTTGTAGAATCTGTAGTTCTGAAGAGCAGCAGGCATCTGTTGCTGTTTTCCCCCCGCCCCGCCCGGGCTCTTACCTGACCTTTATTTCCTGCTTTTTCAACTGCAGCTGCTTGTGCGACACAGCTGCAGTTGAAAAAGCAGGAAAAAAGGGCTTTTCCAATTGCTGTCCAGGCAGCTCAGCAGGTTATAAATTGCACTCACGTGACTCGCGCATGCACGTGTGACGCTAATAGACAGAACCGGTAGTTATACCAGTCGGATCCCATCCCTGAAATAAGCCTGTTTATGACATGAAAGAAATCAATTTAACAAAGTACGCTACAAGTTTTAGAGTATTCATCTCTAAAATCCATAGCTTCAATAAATTCAATACATATCGACTATTTTGAGGTTTCCATTAAGAGTAAGAGGTGCTTATTCTTCACAATGAGTAAGTTACTTCCAACAACTGCAAGAATAGTCATTTTACAAATTTTTCTTTATAAGTAAGAACAGTATTTCTTTTCCTGCAAATATAGCATTAACCTCTTTTTTAAGATGCTACTCCAACACATTTTGGAAAACCATGTATCAGGGTAGCTTCACATTCAAATTCTCTTCTTTTTTACAAATAATCTGTAAAAATGATTTTAATTAATGTAAATTATGAAAGCTGACAATATAAGCCTAGGAAGAATTCAAAGGAAAAAAATTACATTGGATCAGTAGTAGCGAGAAACATGAAATGCATTGGTGACCATACCAAGCCTCTTTAAAATTAATATTGTGAAGCATTTAGATGACTATTTGTACTCCGAATTCTACACACATAGAAGTCCCAGCTTAATCTTACCAAACACCATATTCTCCAATATGTTTGGTTTGGAGGAAAGTTCCTTGAGCTATTTATCAGAGTAAGAGAGAAGCTATATTAAATTCAAACATAGTGCTTATTGCTTGTGAAAACAAAGGGGAGAATAATGGAACAAAAAGCTTATTAGCAAATGAAAAATCAAGTTTCTGCCCAAAGCTTTGCTTTTATTTCTTAAAGTTTACCTTTAAAAATAATCTGTATATTTCCATGGATAAAAGAATTGGTATATATTAAAGTGTATATGAGTAAGAGGTAGAGTTGATGTACTAAAAAGCTTTGTGTGGTATATAAAAATATCTAATTCAAATACTCTTGGTAAAACTATGTCCCTAATCACGATAGAATTAAATTTGTCAATAACCAGTCATAGGATTTGTGGTTGAGAACAGACTTAGATTATTGCACCACACTTTTGAAACATTTAAACAAGAAATAAAATGATCTACAAGTCTAAACTTAATAGTACAACAGCCACATTACCATTTTAATTTATGGTTAAAATAAATAATTTCATAATATTAAGAAGCACTGATGGTAACAATTTAAATTCCAGGGGTTAAATGCATAATTTTCTTCTCAGTTCTGTTCTGTTTATTTATTATACAGTCATCAGGTAATTCAAAAATAAAACCTAATGTCATAATATTTACAGTCTTTTATATCACATTCCTTAAGAATGTTGTTCCCCTGTTCCCTTTAAAGAACTTCACTTTCAAACAGCCTATATGGATGGGAGATTACCAAATACACACATATATGTATTTGTAGTAACTTATAATGGAATATTACACAGCAAACTTTAACAAAAACCCAGAACTAGATTAATTACACCCTTGTTAACCCAACTTAATCAATCTAGTTTAGAATAGAAAAATCTATTTTATATTGAAGGCATAACATGTAACAAAACAATTGTTTGGATCGTTTGCAATGGCTGCAAGAAAGACACAAAAGCACACCTTGACAAACAGTGATTTTAATAATAAAGGGATGTATTGCACTGATATGATTGCTATAATTTTGTATTTTGTTAAAACTTATTTTTCAAAATAAATGTTTCAATACAAAAGTATGGATGATTATCTTGAGGAAAGTGAGATAAATCTAAACAAATACTGAACTTACCATTTATTTAATATTACTTAATAGACATCTACAATGCATAGATTATATTGGAAATTATCTTTTTGCTCAAAAGTAAAGAAACATGCATTTTTAAACAACCGTTTTTAAGGGAAATACAAACTTTAGGAACTGAAAACATTTTAAAAATCACATTTATACTATTAAATCAATAAGATAGGATTTGTAAATTTTCAGATATTTAGATCCATTCATTTTCCATCCATACATAAACAAATAATATAGCCAATGATATAGCCTTGTAAAAATATTACAGCATGATAAAAAAAATTCCAGATTGCCGCCTTTTCCTCCTCTCTTTCTACAACATTGTTGTCTTTAATGTTGCCTTTAATATAATTATTTCTACAGTACTAATTTATTAACTTAAATATAATCAAGCTATTTTAAATTTTCTGCGCAGACAGAATATATACTTTTTGAATTCATGGACCAGATAAATTACTTCTTTTACAACTTACAAATGAGACTCTTGATTTCTTTTGTGATGATTTATGGCTCCATCTGTGTTGCATGTTTTCATACAGGTGCCCTAGTGACTTGATATTTAAGACAAGTTTGTCATGTGTGAATCTTTTAATTAAAACATGAAAACTCAAGGAACCTACTCTGTAAGTACAAATATTTTCCAATATTGCCATTTGCTAAGGTGCATTCCACAATATATAAATTTTGCTGAATATACTAATATATATTTCACTAAAATGTAAAACAATAATTTATCTCATTCCTATAAAAATACTATTCATTCATCCTTTTCAAAAGGAGGAAAAATTATTTTGAGATTCAAAAGGATTGAAATAATTTCATTTAGCGTCAAAAGAACAAATGTAGTTGTTAATACTATATAACAGAAAGGAATATGAAATAGAATGTATACATTTTATGTATATTTCTTACTAAGTAACAAAGTTAGTAAAAATATTGAGAAATTAAACTAAATAAAAATGATATAACAATCTCAAATTATGTTAGTTTCATATTCAAAATACATCCAAAACAAGGTATTTTGGGGGTGATACAAAAGACTGACGTTCCCAAGAGCCAATATCAAAATAATTACAGATCTTACTGAACTATATGGGTTTTCCCCATACTCAACACAAAAGTAATATAAATAAACTACCTTATATGCAGCACCACCATGGATGATAGATTTGATGAAAATTCCAAGATCTGCCCCTGTCTCTCGAGATTTGTTGCCTTTTAAGCTCACGCCAAGTCCAGCTGAACCAGAATCATTCAAAGGAATTTCAAAAGTCAATTGCTCTGTTGCCTCGAATGAAAAAATGTTGCAACATGGTTCTCCTTTCTGTTGGATGAACAGAGAAAGCAAAGCATGTTGATTAAAAACTAGCAGGTAAGTACTTTTTTCTCTGATCAAACAAGATTATGAATGGAATATAATACTCAAGAGACAGAAAATGTCTTTCATTTTAACTACATTTTAATTGGGAATCAGAATGAAAAGTCTGTCTTGAAAGGTAAGCCAAACAATATTTATTTCAAAGCATTTCAAATTTTTAAATTTTGTAAGCAAAAAGTGATACAGAGGCAAACTTTTTATCATAGAGGCCTGAAGAAATCCTTGGATGCAGTCATGTATTCTCTGAGTCATTAACAAGAGTGATAGCATTAACAGGGGAAAGAACTACGATGTCATCCAAGAACAGCAGAGAAGTCTGGTGATGAGATGAATTAGAGCAATCAAAACTGTTTCATATCATTTACAGTATGCACAGTATGTCAATTCATTATAATGGTTAAAATATTTTAAATATGTTGATCACATGATTTAATACTTAATATTTTAGGGCAATTGATTATTTTAGATGTGTTACCGGTAGCATTTTCTCAACTAACAGTGAAAACTTATGTTTTTAAATTAAATTTATTAATTGGAAAAGGTGCTTTCAGATTACTGATGTTTTACTATCTGAGATTAACATGAGTCTCTGACTATAATATATACTATTTAATGCTATTTCTATTTAATAAACAGGTTAATGAACAGTACATTCTATATTGATTCCAGCTGACGTTGCAGCAAGATTGGACACAAGGAATGGATCTCCATGATCCCGTGCTGACTTTTCCCCATTGGAGTGCTCCAAAAGGTGCTAAAGCCACCCTATAGGGGTGGTGAAGGAAAGAGGGGTGCCCTGCAGGTCATGGGGGAGTTGCAACTCTCCTGCTTGATCCAGGGTTCTTCCCTCTCACTCTCAACAAGAAGAGGCAGCCATCACAGCAACAAAGAAAGTGCAGGAGCAGTTTAAATGAACAGTGATTGTAACTGGGTGAGATTTTTCTTTTGCTACCTAAAATTTAACCCTAAAAGGAAAAAAAATATTCAGGAATGAGACTCTTAGAACTATTTGTTAAAGCAGCAAACAATTATTCAGAGAAAAATTCCAGACCCGAAAGAAAGGAACCAAGGGGAGAAAAGCAAAAAAATTGTTAAAATAAAATAAAATATTAGAAAATTGGACCTCTAAGCTGGATAGGTGCTGTTTTGGAAAGGCATTTTAAGATGCTGGAACTTTTTACTTAAATAACTGACTTTGTTTCTATAAATCAAATTAGAATTGGATTAAATACCAGTTAGAATTGAGACAACGTTGAAGCCTAAGCTGAGGGTGCCACCTATTGTTGAATGGAAAATATGACATACCCCTAGAAGCCTGGGAAAATTTCTGATAAGAGAATTAAGCAACATCTATCTGGAGACCTGTAGGAATAATTATTGTTTTATATTTATCTACTCTATGATCATTGGAGGCTCAACTGTGAGACCAAGTAAGAGACCTAATTAAAGCAACCTTTGAATGTTAAGACATATGAATAAACATATAAAGTGGATTTAAGGAGACACTTAGAAAGCTTTCTGGACTACTTAAATGGAACTGATTGATTAGCTGTGGGATATAAAGAACAGTGATTACTATACTCTCTGAGGAGCAACTTTAGGCCTGAATATATGGTTTTTGGACTATTGAGCAGGAGTGGGACTTACTAAAACAAGACATGATGCTCCATCAGGGGGAAATGAGTGGATTTTTGGAAGTAATGGTGTTAATGTTTCAAAACATTAAGGACATTATGACAAAGAACTGTAGAGAGATAAAGAACCCAATGCATTGCATGGATGGGAAAATAGAAAACATTCAACAAGGGACAATGAATAAAGGTCACTATGTCCAGGAAAGGGAGGAGATAGCAGAAAGAATGGAAGAAAAGATAGAACAGACAAATCAGCAAATAAAGAAGACAGTAAAGATAAAAATGATTGATAAAATAAAGCAAGGAAAAAGTATTTTAAGAGATTTAAAAATAGATTGGGATAAGCAGGATGATATTTACGAAAGGGAGACAGGAGAGATAGGAGCTTGGGCAGACATTCTAGAGCCTGGCAGTATAAGATGGGAGAAATATATAGAGTGAATAATAAAAATGTAGAGGTTGAAAGAGACAAAGATCTAAGAGAAAAGTATGGGAGGCAACCCAAAAAGCGAATAAGAATTGAAGCATTAAAACGAACAAGAGAAGATGGATAGAAAGGAAAAGTCTTTTAATATAATGGTGGACTGACTGAGGCCTGTCTAAAAATTAAAAAATTATGACAGGACAGCCCACAGCTGACATCATGTAGAGATGAGGCTTAAATATCAGCAGATCTATTTATACTGGAAGTCATTGTTTTTCTTAAAATAATTTCAAGCTTTCATATGGTATAATATATTATTATATTTCAGTGTACACCTTATTTTCTAAAATACTAATTATACAATTCTGTCTTTAAATCTTTAAAATGCACAGTTTACATGCATTTTTCATTTTTGAGACTAGTTTTGGGTATAGAAAAAAACAGTAGAGATAGGCTGTTAGATTATAGAGCAGTGTATTATTAATATCAACATCAAATCATTTTTGTTTTCCAATTAAACAGAACGCATTCATTAAATAAATGAAATGTTTGTTCTTGTTATATATAAATTGACGTTTATAGTTCATTAGAGCCTGACTTTTTCTCTTTCTTTGAAATAACATGCTTTTCAAATTGAAGATGTGTTGTTTATTTTTGTTTTTCACAGGAACAAAAATAAACAGTTTTAGTTTGCAACATTGGTGGATGTGTTATTACTCACTGATATGAGTGGCATTTTTATAAAGGAAGTTTTGTTGATCTCTTCCTCGTCTATCTGAATAATTTTATGGAGATCATTCCAAATTTTATGTGAATTTAATATAAGCTGTAATATTCAGCACCTTCTCTCCTTTCCTCCCCTAACAAATTACACTGGTTTATAAGCCTCAGAAATGAAAGTAGCTTAGCTTTACCAGAATTGGGTCACTAATAAAGGAAAATTAAGTCCTGAGTATTATTTGGCTCCAGTTTCCAAGATACAGCTTCAAGTCAAAATTGCATCAAAATAGTTCAAAATTATGAGGGGGATGTGTGACTATGCTCCATAACTTTTCTGCAAAATGTGATATAGCAATGAGAATGGTGCCACAACAATCATTATAAATTTATCTTTTTATTGGTACCAAGAAAACTTTCCATTCGTGTATTGGTTTCTCATGCAACGATTTCATGCTTTTTGCATGAAAAACTGACAAGCTCTAACTTCAGATTAAAGTTTCCATTTTCATTTGGTATCTAAACTGCGCTTTTTGGCTTTTCTCTTGTGAATTGCAGTAGGATCATCCCTGGGGAGATTCCAGCAGTAATTAGCAAGCTTAGACGGGCACCATTTCCCTTGGTATCTTTTCTCCTTACCTGCAAAATCCAGGTGGAATCTCTCCTCATGGTCATCACTCACTGCCCCACAGTTCAAAGGGAAATAGTCTAAATGTGAGTGTAAGAAGTAAATCAGTCTACCACATTTCTACGGTTTTGAGTGTGTTCAGTTCCAGATTGTTCCGGTTACACTACAAGGCAAGTTGTATAACCTCCTTTCTGTATGCAGATTCATCGTTGTCTCGAATGAGACCAATCACTGTTGTGTCATCAGCAAACTTCAGTATTTTAACAGATGGATCGTTTGAGATGCAGTCACTGGTATATAGGGAGAAGAGAAGTGGAGATAGCACATAGCCTTGGGGGGGAGGGGGCTGTGCTGATTGTACAGGTATCGGATGTGATTCCGCCTAACTTCACCTGCTGCTTCCTGTCTGTTAGGAAGCTTATGATCCACTTATAAGTGTGTTCAGGTACCACTAGTTGGTTTAATTTAGTTAGAAGAGTGTCTGGAATGATGGTATTGAATGTTGAACTGAAGTCTACAAAGAGGACCCTTGCGTAGGTATTTGGAGATTCAAGGTGTTGTAGGATGTAATGCAGAGCCATGTTAACAGCATCATCTGTCGATCTATTTGCTCGATATGCAAACTGCATGGGATCTAACAGCAGATCCGTGATGGTTTTCAGATGGGACAGCACAGCACAAGCCTTTCATAAATTTTCATAACTACAGATGTTAGAGCAACTGGTCTGTAGTCATTCAGTTCCTTGATGGAGGGCTTCTTTGGCACTGGGATGATGGTAGAACGTTTGAAGCAGGAAGGAACATAGCACATCTCTAGTGATCTATTGAAGATTCGGGTGAAGATGGGGGCCAATTGGTCAGCACAGACTTTTAAGCAAGAAGGAGTTATCTTATCTGGCCCTGGTGCTTTTCCTGGCTTCTGTCTGTGTAATAGATCTTGCACTTCTTTTTCTATGATCACCAGAGGTTGTGAGCCCAATGGATTGGGGCCAGTTGTAGAAGGCTTGGCTGTTGTTGGTGTGTTTGAGATGCGGGTTGTGGAGATAGGTGACTGTAGTTTCCTTTCAAACCTGCAGTAAAACACATTCAGGTCATCTGCTAGTTGTTGATTTCCTTCTGCTTGGGAAGGAGGTTTGCTGAAGCCAGTGATGTTTTAAAGAGTTTTCCACATGTTGCTGGTTCATTTGTTGAGAATTGATTCTTTAACTTTTCAGAGTAGCTTCTTTCTGCTGCTCTGATCTCTCTTGTTAATATGTTTCTGGCCTGGTTGTATAGCATCCTGTCACCTTTTCTGTAGGCTTCCTCTTTGGAATGACGTAACTGCTTAAGTTTAGCTGTGAACCAAGGTTTATTGTTACTATATATTTGCAGGTTTCTTGTTAGTACACATAAGTCTTCGCAGAAGCTAACATATGATGTTACAGTATCTGTAAGCTCATCTAGGTCTGCAGAGGCATCTTCAAAAACATTCCAATCAGTGCAATCAAGGCAGGCCTGGAGTTTCAGCTTTGCCCCATCCGACCAAGTCTTCATTGATTTAATT